ACGCCCAGGACGACGCTGGGAATGCCCTCGGCGATCAGGACCCCCCGCCAGCCGCTGAGGCCCTGCACGCCGTCCATGTGCCCGATGCCGTAGGCGAGCAGGCCGCCCAGCGCGCCGGCCACGGCCGCACTGACAAAGAGGTACCCCACGCGCAGGGCCAGCTCGTTCCTGGTGTAGAAGAAGGTCAGGTAGATGTTGAGGCCGGGGAAGAGGCCGGCCTCCACGGCGCCGAGGAGCAGCCGGCACGCGACGAGGCTGCCGTAGGACGTGACGAGGCCCATGAGCGTCGCGACGAGCCCCCACGACACGGTGATGAAGGCGGTCCAGCGCCGCGGCGTGAAGAGCTTGAGCACCAGGTTGGACGGCACCTCGAACACCATGTACGTCACGAAGAAGATGGATATGGCCACCTGGAACTGGGATGTGCTGAGGCCGAGGTCCTCCTCGAGCCCGTAGAGGCGAGCGTTGCCGAGGTTGACTCTGTTCCTTTCTGTTTAGCCATCAAAGGATCCCGGGAGAGAAGTAGGGCGAAAGACAAACCTGTCCACGAAACTGAATAGGTAAATGCCCATGATGAGCGGAACGAGATACAAGTCCAGCTTGCGGACCAACTTCCTCTCATCGACACCCCGACTCGCACTGGCCAAATCATCCAGCGTGGCCCTCCTACCGAGCCGCGCATCGTCGCTGGAACTTTCGTTCCCGGAACGCTGTTCAGGCAATCCCATCTCGGTAAGCTTGGCAGTCCGTCGTTGCGCAACGAGGCAATTGGCCAAATTGCACTACTTTACTCGCCAGATGTCCTTTGCCGTCAATCTCAAATAGAATCCTCCCTCTAAAAATTCAAAATTTGCCGCATCACAAGCAAGGCAATTCTCCCAAGGTGGACTGCGTAAGGACGGTACGAGGCGGCCAAGAAAAAAATGTGCCCTAGATCCAGACCAGATGGCACAACTCATACGTTTCGTGTGATTAATGGCCTGTGGCGCAAAGAGCTGGGTGTCCTAAGCCGTGTGTCCCATTCTGAGACAATAAGGCGAAAACCTCCGCATAGATTTTTCATTCTGCACAGGATAAAATCGTGCAGCCTTGGAATCAGAAAATTATCCATTGCCCCCACCCGATGCCGGAGTTTATCGGCCGGATGGATCAGATGGACAACACGCCACATCCATTATCACAAGGCTTCCTGGAGCCCATGAGCCAGACCATCTTCTACACTAATACAGCTAATTTTTTGTCCACACTTCCGGGACAGTCCACTTGGGTCATCGACTGGTACCTTTCGATAGCTCATGTTCGAGAGTACTGCGCAAAAGTTATATATACAAAGACTACGATATTATTCGACACACTCGCCCCCTCCTAATTCTCCTTTCATCTGGCGCGATGCGTCTTCCTATTTCGTCCCAGAGTATATGCCATCATGCTTGCCTATGTCACACTTAATCCACGGCTGTCTTCTATGCATGCCCAGGTACGTTTGTGTCCTTGGGAAAGATTTCCGGTGAAGAAGCCTCAAAATTCCGTACAATTTTTGATTTTCAACATTCATTTGTGGAGCATCTATTTGAAGTGTTCCGTTGGCATCTCATACACAGGCCCGCTCTGGTGGCCCATGACAGCATGGCTGTCAATCTCATGAGCGTTGTCACTGTGCCACTTGGCGGCGGCCGGATTGTCTGAGGCCATCTCGGCAGCCTCACTCGTGTGCCATCTAGCACCAGCTCCATCGTTGCCCAGTTCAGCTGTTTGTGGTCCGGCCGAGAGAGGGCTTACTGAAGCCACCGTTGTTGTATCAGGGGTGGGATGTCGTGGCAGTTGGTCACCCGGAGACAGAGTGGAGCTCCGAGGAGGATATGAGCTGTTAGTGGTGGATCGAGTAGGGACATATGCCGCGCCGTACGGTTCAGGTTTGGCATATCCGGCACGGCCATCGCCCTTGGCTGTTCCACGATAACCCTCGGGCTGAACATTGGGTAGAACCGGACTCCGGCGAGGGACAGAACCTGGAGTAGACGCTAATCCTTCAGACATGGGACGTGAGCCGCCAGCGCCAACGGGAACCTCAGAAGAAGGTCCAAGCAAATCATCGGGATCAGGCTTAGGGGCACGGCGTCGTCTAGTAAAGAACCACAGAAGAGCGCCGATGATGGCCAGGCCAGCGACGCCAGCTCCGACACCAATACCGGCTTTGGCGCCCGTGGAGAGTCCGCCATTATCGTCGTTATTGTTGTTGGAATTCCCAGGGCTGGAGTTGCCGGTGGGCGTAGAAGTTGACGTTTCAATAACGCCAGTAGAGACAACAGTAAGTTTGGTGACAATGGTGCTGGTCACTGTGACGGTTGTCTTGGCGTTGGCTTGGTATGTCTCGGTGATCAAGGACGTCGCATGAGCAACGGTAGTCGTGGTAGACCTGACATTCTTCGTGACGGTCTGGGTAACAGTTGTAGCGCTGCCTCCACCACCGACAGTCACGGTAACTGTAGAAGTGACAACAGCACGCTTCTCAATTCCAATTCTCTCGGGACTCGGGTATTTGCTCTGTATGCGAGTAGCAGTGGTAGCGGCAGTAGGCTGGGCGTCGACATGAGCAGGTCCATTGCCGTTAAATTGCGAACCGTTCCCCACGCTGCGCTTCATGTTGACAGTTTGTGTAGATGTAACAAAGACGGTCTTGGTAGAGGTTTCGCCATCGGACATAGTGATGGTCGTGGTAGCAATGTCCGTCGTCGTGATGGTAATCGTTGTGACAGAACTAGAAGTAACAGTAGTCGTCTCGCTAACGGTGCTGCCACCGCCTGCACTGGTAACGGTAGCAGTTACAAAAACAGTGGTATCACCGCCGCCGGCTGAAGAGGAAGAGCTGCTGCTACTGCTACTGCTACTACTGCTGCTGCTGCTGCTGCTGCTGCTACTGCTGGATGTTTCACTACCGCCGTCTATTGACTGTGAGGCCTGAGATTGTCCTGTAGTACTCGCGTCATTCTGGCGAGGAGCAATTTGACCTGCGCTGGCGCCAAGGGCCAGACCCAGGACGAGTCCCCATGAGAGACGCATGCCGAGAAATCTATGTGATACCGCTCGAAATCAAAGACGGGATAGCACTGGGTGCGGAAGAGCAGTCCGGTTCAAAGCTAAGGAAAAGTGTATGGGCTCAGAGCCAGCCAGGACCGTCAGCGGCGGGAGAACAACCGTTCGAACGTCGCAGATGTTTTAATCGGTTCGACAATAGTCACTCTCAGACGAATAAGGAGTGAAACACGAGCGACAAGGAATTATCTCGTCCTACGTATATCGCCCGCAATCGACTTGTTTGATATGCTGGACGTCGCGGCGAATTCTGGGGGCAAGGGAAAGGGGCCTTCGCGGATAATGGTGGACCGTGGGCAGTCAGTTGCAGCTCAGCCCGATTGGCAAAAACATAAATAAATAAAAAACACGAATGGGAAAAGCCGGCTATGGCGATATCGGAAGAACTATAAATTAAGGCAAGAAAAAAAGAGAGAGAAGACGCAGATGCCGAATGGACAACAGTTGGAGCAATAAAACGAGAGGGAGGAATCAAGAGGGTAATAAGGAAGGATGGTAACGTTAAGATGGGAAGGAAAAGGATGACGAAGCTGACCGAACAGAGAAGGAACTGGCCTGCGGAGTTACTCGCTACTCACTCGGAGTGGAGAGACAACTGTCAACTGGTGCCAAAATGACAAAGAGCCAGGCGGCGGACACCAGCATCAACTTGCAGTATCCTCCTGCGGGCACTAAAAGGGCACTAAGGGTACTGCGTATGTACAGGTAGTTCGCCACAGGCACTCTCAGCATTCACTATTGACCTACGAGAACCCCGCGTCGTCGGAGTGCGCACAAGTACCGTGGACCCAAACATAGGTACCGCAGTGAAGCGCAGCCAATGGGATCACTGCAATCCGTTGCCAGCCGTGTACCCGGTACGAAGGCACAGCAATAACCAGTAAGCCGCCCTAAGTGACCACTACAGAATAGTATCTCAGTACGTCCAGGTGGAACGCCACTGTTCCAATACCAAGAGTCTCTTGTACTTTGTCCTGCCTCGTTTTAATTGTCTCCCTAATGGCGGTTACACGCGCCATCTCCACCCCTCCCAACGTCTGTGTGTCCATTGGAAAAGAAGAAAAAAAAACACTACAAAGCATGAAAAAAAAAGAAGAAGAAGAAGAAGAAACAAGCCAAGTAAGAAAGGGAGAAAAAGAAAAGCACTCAAAGACAAACGAAGACTTGCGCGTCCTTTGAAGCGGCTGCATCACTGGAATCATGACGATTGTACGGAGTACATGCAGCACACAGTACGAAGTACCAAAGGTGCCTCCACTAAATGTCTCGACCGTGTTTACCGGTGTCCCTGTGAGAAATTACAAAAACGTAGCAATCAACAGTCTGCCACCAGGCGATAGTGTCAGCACCGCCACAAGAACAAAAACAACCGCCTCTGTCAGATATGCAAAAGCGCAAAAGATGTGATGCCACCTCGGACAAGGCAAGGCGCTGGCGCGCACAAGAATGCGTCAAAACCCTGATGCCATCACATGGGCCAAAACATCCATCGCGAACCACGCTCACTCTTTTGGTCCAGCGGGCCAGTTCCCTCCCCACTCTCCTTCCTTTGGCCGTGGCGCAGGCAGCCACGGCAATACGAGGTTTTGAATTCCGCCTGGAGGACCTGGTGGCAGTTGGAGTTGACGTCTATTCGTTCGACAAAGCAGGAGGACGGAAGGGAGCCCGACACCTAAACACAGAGGTAGATTTGGCCGCGCCGTACGTAACATCGTACATAGTTGCGCCTTTAAACACGAGACTAGCTACAATATCCTCTACGCCGGGCGCTTGAAAAAAATTCAGACCTCCGATCCCAGTATTCCACCCGCCCATCTCCACGTGCACTGTGCCACAATTGTGGTGCACAGACCATTGTCCTCGACCCTCGATCTCATCACCCGAGCCACGACACAGGACTCGGCAACAACACATACCTGCCGACATCTTCATGTTCAGAGAATCCAGCCAAGAGAACGCCGAAAGTTAGACCCCCTCTTAAAGGGTTAAAAGAAAAAAAAAGGCCCAAATACCACCCGCCACGAAATTGTGCTTCCGTGAACCTGCATAAAGGTCACTTCTATTCTTAGACCATGGCGTCAGCTTGCACTGCCCCAGCCTAGACGCCATGAACCAACCCCTGCCAGCCATACGACTTATTGCAGATACACCGAACCATATGAGCAACGGGCCGCAACTTCTTCGTATGAATAATAGCCCGGCTGGACCCTGGGTTTGCATCGCGCTTTGGCAGAAGCCTAGCCTAGCGGCAGTTCATCAAACTCGACAATTACATCATTTAACGGCCTCAATCCCGTAAAGAGCACACCGGCATAGTTCTTGAGTGACCAGCCAAAGTGCCCTCATCTCATCAGTGATCCCCAGCCAAGAACTACATGTGCGCATTGCTAGCTTGAGACCAGCGGGACGCCACGTCCTGCAAATTCAACGTTACCTCAACGGCCGTCACGGAATCCCATGTTCAAACGTCGTTTTGCATATTGTCATATTCTGCCTACAGCCACCAACATTGCCCTGTGTATTATCAAGACCACCTAGACCAGTTTCGCTCAGCCAAAATTACTAACCCTTAATTCCTCCTTCCACATTGAATTCCGCCGTCTATCTCTCTCCAATTGACCTCTCCTATGCTGTCGGCGTCCGGCGTCGCAGGCACAACTGCAGCCAACGTACTCCGTAGTTTATAAAAATAAAAAAAAAGTCTAAACAACTTTCCCCAATATATCCCATAATGCAATTTTTGAAATAATAAACCAAGAAGAATCAAAGTCTTCAAGGAAGACGAATGCCATTAGCTTGCAGATATGAGGGTATAAACAAGAAACGAATGCTTGATGTCGCCCCTAGAAATTTTCTTTGCCCCAAACAAATGAGAACCTACACGCTAGTTAGCATAGCACACTGTTTGTAATGTTGAGGGAGGATTCAACATACCCTGGCTCGGTATACTTGTTGCAGTATACGTGCAGGGCACTGCCCAGACCCTTGGGACCACAGAAAAAGACACCAGCTTCACCAGGACTGTGCAATTTCCTGACGCCGCGGAAGATCATGTCCCAGTTTGGTCGCCCAAAGTTGGTCGGACTCCTCAGACCTGTGATAGTGTCCTTGTCGGCGTTGGCGTCATTAATCATGATGTTTGTGGCATCGTCAGACTTGATCTTGGCTGTCAAATATGTGTGGATTTCAATGCGGTGTTCAAGATCTTGAGCTTCAACTGCCAGAAGCAGTGACCGGAACCACTCGAATGAACCAAAGTCTCGGCAAATCCAGAAGAAGTACACTTTGGATAAACGCGTCTTCTTCTGTGGGTAGTTCATTCGGTACCAGATTGACTTGAGGATAGAAGCAAAAGGAGTGACGCCGATACCAGCACCAACGAGGATAGACACTTCGTATTTGAAAACGTCCTCCGAGGCTGATCCAAACGGTCCATCAACGTAGACTCGTGGCAAGACTCTTTGCAGCGCAGGGTTGACACCGTTTTGGTCTCTATCAACGCCAACAACCTTGCTCGTGTCTGCCTTCTTGTCCCATTCACAGCCAAGGGCCTTGGAGACGGCCATCGTGAAGTCACCCTGGCATCTCATATGAATTGAAATGTAATCCTCCTCGGGAGCACTGGTGAGCGTGAATGGGTGATACTGCCAAAGTGACACAGCGGGACAGCAGAAGAAAATGTACTGGCCAGCGCGAGTCTTTGTGTTTTGCTTCTTGATTTGGATCTCACACACTTGGCTCGGGTGCTGTATGACTTTTGAGATGTACGTTTTGTGGCGACCGCGTAACTCGCGAGCAATCCGCTCCGCCAAGTAGACGAAGCCAGAGTACATCCAATATTGCCAGAACACGCCAATAGCCGAGGCGCCAATGCTGGTGCAGAAAGGGGCCACATCTGGTTGAATCATGCAGAACGCACCGTGCAGGGACCAGAAGAAGAAAAAGACGATGAACATGTGGTGAGTATACCAGAAACGCTCATAGTTTGCTCTCCGTGGCTTCTCCACAGACGTAATAACCATGCCCATCAGGGCGATAAGCATCACGTAGCCTGTCCAGCCAGGTCCAGACGCAAAGTTGGCCAAAAGCCATCCGTAGAAGCCTAGCTTGTTCTTGGCCGCAACCTGGGCAAAGTTGTTCCAGTGGGCTATCGTGTGAACCCATGAAAAGAAGACGATGGACCACGCCGTCGTAATGTGAAATGTGATATTCTTGTCGAACTGAATAATTCCGTTAAGAGGAGTCTGGCGCATGAGCGAAATGAGTGTTCGGCAAACCGGAAAAAGGATGATGCCGACGTCGACGTGTAAAACAACCGCAGATGCACGCGCAATGACAAATGTAAAGCCGAAAATATCTCTGGCGCCTTGCAAGCTGTCCTTCATGGCGTAGTGAACCGAGGCGAATGCGAATATGAGGGCATGCGTGACCATGAAGACGAAGACAAATCTGGCAGTATCTGTCAGCAAAATCCCACATTGGCCGTCACCACTGCCTTTTTTTTGTTCCACATCGAGGCCCTTTCTCTCCAACTCTCCCAGTCTACCACTCCTTCCGGACATACGTACACTCGTCTGTAACCTTCATTAATCATCCAGCGATCAAACTTTTCTCTCGTTGATAGGTCCTGCTGTTTCTCCTGCGTCATCTCGCCTGAAAGCAACATCCTCGTCAGAGGGGTCCATCTCGACCGTTCCGAAGGCCGCTCAGAGACCCCAGAGTAGTAATAGCTCATTGTAGTCGCCCTACTCCTATTCCGCTTGAGACTTCGAATATTCAGTTGCCGACAGATATTCCGCGCCTTTCGGACCAAATACAACAACCGATCCCGATCGAAACGCAGCAAAGTCTCGAGTTATACGATCAATGTGACCATGCAGATTAACGAAGATATTGTACACGCTTGGTGTTTTGTATGGTATACTTCAGAGCCTGCTGAAATAGGTAACAAGAGGAAAGAATATTAACGATTGTCGAGACGAGCAGATTATCGGGGTATTACTCGCACAATAAAGATTGTCATGTCTAAATGTTCATGTTAGTTGCACCTTATCCATGATAACTGGTTGCAGACTGAACTGCCTGGGGACGGAGCAAAACTGGCGAAGAAGGCACCAGGGGAAAGGGCAAAGTGCAGGCAATCTTGCAATAAATGGGATTGGGGCAAGCCAAGGTGGCCGTTGCAAGGTAGGTAGTCATGTCTGGTACCATACTAGGAACCGGGATACGCTTGAAACACCAGGCGACAAGCATGGAAGGGAGATCATACCAACTATTGAGATGTTCAGCGCTCAAATATTCACGAATCAAACAAATCTGCCAAAACATTCAGAATCGCACAGGTTAAATGGCCAGGGGAGAACATCCAAGGGCCCAAATTCAGAAATGGCAGACGGAAACTTAATAAACCAAAGTCAAGCTGAAGGTAACAGCACTGGCCGATAGCCCCAGGGTTCGACGAGGCCGAGCACACGGCTCCAAAAATCCGGTGAGCCAAGGCTGGGTGGGCGGCTAGGAAACTTTCCTACGCCTAGCATCAGGACCTTTCGGCAGGTGATTGGACGCTCGCGCTCTTCAGAAGCACTGGCAGCCCACCTTGGCGTTGGATCTATGCGTCGCAAGGTATCATCAATTGTTGGTTCTCTCCAGGGGCTTCCATTCAGGACGCGCATCAACCTGCGACGACCAGGTTGGTGCGGACTGCACTCCGAGTAATAGATCAGATGGGTGCAAATTCCGAAACCCCTCTAAATCACTGCAACCCTAGAACAGCGATTCCTACCCTCGCGTAGAAAAAGAATTGTGGCTTCGCAGTCGTCATCAGCATCTGAGGTTGAAGTGAAGCAATTCATCCCCAACAGGTCTGACTGGCCCGATGCCGTCCATTCCGGAAACATGGTCGACAACCTGTGAACAAACCCTCCTGGAACCCGCGCACAGGCATTGTCGATATCGGGCTGAGCGCACATGCAACATTTGGTACCACCGTACTGTTTGTCGGTACACACACCGTACGTCAGCACCCGTTTCATCCCGTGGATAACAGGTGAAGCATCGCAGCTTCAGAAAGTGGGTTGTGGCCCCATATCCCAAACGACAACGCCGCACCCGCACGTTTGCGGCCGCATAGCATTGATCGAACGTTCAGTACGGAGTAGAGGACTCCTCGACATTAATAATACCATGGGACGACTGTAAGGAAGTGCGAAGCAAAAGCTGTGTGGTGTCAAATCTGGCCTGGTGAAACGTACCCTGTGACATAACTCGTCGCGTACACCCTTGGTGAAGCGCCACAAGTCCCAAACCCTCTTCTGGTACTGCCCAGCAAATGGTAGTCAGGCCGTATCTTCTTCCTCATCAGCCTATACCAAGAAGTTTTGGGCATATTAAAGTCCGAAACACCTCTTGACACCACCAGTGATGGTGAGCAATTCACAGGAATGTGTAGACTTGCACGTGTATCCTGCTAATAGCCGTAGCTACAACTGAGGTTACCCGAAAATAAGCTCGTCACAAGCAGCATGCCTTACCTCTATCTAGTAACATTCCACATGGTGCGGCTTGTCGGGAGATCTGGGTCCCGTCAGTCACGGCTTCTAGCAAGTGTTATGGGAAAAATAGATCCTGCCATCTGGGCAATCCGGCTCGCGCGGCAGGAAATCTCCGTAGACTTGGGACGGTTATGATACCAGAGCCTCACCATTATCAATACCTGAAGCGTATACACTTCATCAGGTTTCCTTACTAAACGGGATTCGGTAATCGGCGCGATGCTTGGGTCGGCTCATTCCGCGTAATAGTTGTCGATCCTGTCTTAAAACGAAGATTGCTCAATTCTGCTGCTAAATCGTCGCATTTATTTGATGCGAGCTTGAAGCGTTCAATTTGTTTGATTATTTCGGGATGGAACGGATAGGTGGATTCTCATATGCAAGGGGTTCGAGTTATCTTGGTCGAGCGGCTTGAAGCAGAGACAGGCATGGCAGGAATATCAAGGCTACCTTTGGGTGTGATATCAGCATTGCTCTGTAAATCTCTCAGCGATGCAACGCACTCCCAAAACGCTTTAGGCAAGTAAATGTAAAGGGGCAATAAGATACAAATTTTGGGACTTTCATACAAGTTTTTATCACACGCGGCATAATAAAGTCGAGACACCTACGACTGTTGATGCTTTAGTTGGATCAGACCCACCTGGGAAGCACAAAGCCGTAAGGCACAAGAGTCGCAGAAAGGTATCTGCAGGAGACGGGAAGGAGCGCGGATCAAGCAGATGGGATAATTGAATAGCGTCTATGACATGGCAGACATGTTGAGCCCCATTGTTGCTATCAATCCAGCCAGAATCGAAGAAATGCAAACAAGTCACTTCAATCACATGCTGCGTCCACATTTCGCCACAGAGGCACAAAGCGTAAAAGAGAGTCATCCTATAATACGCTGCTCAGCAATAAATGCCATAAAAACACGTCAATGATGCAGAAGAAGGAAAACAAAAAGCCCAGCCGCATGATATCCCTTTAATAGCTGATCTGTTCTGTCTAGTCTGTCTTGCAACCCCTCGGACAACAAATTCTCGCCCCCTTGTCTCGTTGGATACGATTTGACTCGATGTATCCAGAGGCAAAGGCTCCTCAGTCGTGTCGCAGATGACTTGCTTCACATCTCGCTAGACCTGTGAAGCAACTTCGTCTGGAAATTTCCTCCTATGATTGGTTATCGCGCAAAAGAGAAAAAAACGTCACTCTTCTCTTCCCTGTCCCCCTGAACTTCATGGCTTAGACAAAGCCATAGTCGTCAGGATCTTAGACAGCATATTTCCGAGTCCATTCCCTAGCCGTAGCCTCGTATCGGGGTCGATCGGTCTTGTATACATGAGCAATCTCGGGTACAAGAGGGTCGTCGGGGTTGGGGTCGGTAAGCATGGAACAAATGGAAAGAAGCACTATTTACGCAATTGTCAGTAGCTGCTTTTGTTCCTAGATTTGGTAGACCAGGAAAAATCGTATATCGTAGTAATGCATACCTTTAGAGATGGTGAGAGCAGGGCTCCATTGGTCTCGCAGAATGTCCAAGCAAATGCTGCCATTGGAGTTGATATTGGGGTGATAGATGCGAGTGGTGAAGTTAACCTTTGGTGGCTTGAAAGGGTAGTCGGTAGGGAAATGGATAGCAAGGAAGAAGACACCACCGGAGTATGGTGAGTCGCCCTATTTAAAATTAGTCAGCACTTTACATGCAGGAAGAGCGAAGCAAAGCTGAGGTTTCTGGCAGTGCATATCAAAACGATGTTCGTCTGGGGTGCGTAAATAACCCCTCATAGACTGTCGCTCGATGGCACGGAGTAGCCGGATCCTGATGCTTGCACGTATTTCTACTCACAGGTCCCATAATCGTTGCTTGCCAGTGGAACTATCGCATCATTAGTCATTTCGTCCTGGATCACACAGGTCTCGAACACCAAAGGGGGCCTCAATATCATACCAGGTCTTCGCCAACAGGGCCAGCAGAGCAAGACGACGGCGGATCACTGTAGAAAGGAAGTCAGCATCTAGACTAACATCTACCGTACCAGGAAATGGCAACGGCCATGAAGAGAAAAAAAAAAACCACTCCAGCTATCCTCGACAGAACAGGACGGCACCTCCAGTCTTCACAGAGGCCGCCGAGGTGATCGCAAGCATTGGGTATTGACTGTATTCTGACATTTTGGTCGAATAGGGCCCCGCTCCCAGGTATGCCCCACCTCACAGAATTGGGCTCCAAATGAGAGGTGGGTCATCAATCTTGCGAGGCCAGAGGAAGGGGGAGAGCGAAGTAGAAAAAGAGGAATATTTACCGGCCGAGATCAGTGAGTTCCTTGTTGATGCGCTTGAGAGCCATGGCTAAGGATTGTGATGAGTGTGTGTGCGAAAAGCGTAGATCGCTGTTGATGCAGATGCTGGAAAAGGTTCGGGTTAGTTGGTGGATAGAAGTAGGAGAGAGAAAAACGCGGGACAGGCGGTCGGAGGAGGCGAAAGCAGCCAGAATGACGCACTTCAGCAGAAGAACAATTCGGCGGGGTAAAATGTACCAAGGCAGACGTGACTCTCGTCGAGAGAGAAAAAAGATGAACCGGCGGTCGAGAGTTTCAGTCGATTTTCGAGCGGCGATGCTGGGGGATGGGAATCTGGTAGATAGGAAAAGTGCTCGCGTCTTGAAATAGTCGTCAGGAACGTGGTTGAATTTGGGTATGTGGTGTATGTAAGGAAAGAGAAACCACAGGGATCGGTCAGTGAGGTGGAAGTTCTAAAAAGAAGCAGCCGGCTAGTCGACCAGTTAACCCGAGCCCCAAGGCCAACACCCAGCCAGCACCTGCACCAACCAAGCATTGAACACCCGACAGAGTGGCCATGCACAGAGGCGGGCACCCGGCGCGGTGCACTGAGAGACCGGACAGACTGGGCACTGGGCAGCTGGACTGAGCCAGAACTTTCGATTTGACCACCTGCGCACGCTCAAGCGCACTGAGCATTGGACCATAGAACATGGGAAGTAGCCAATGACGATAAGGCTGCCCAGGTGGGTGAACAAGTGGGTCGGCAGGAGGCGAGCAACGAGCGCTTGAGCCACCACCACACAACAGTTGACAATTGGAACTTACTCACACTTCCCTCTCACCCACCCACGCCACACATGAGAATTGTCATCAGGCTGTGAGAGATATATTGATTCGAGAATAATCACGCACAGTTCGCCGCCCTGTCTGCGCTGTCGTCCGACTTGCCGCTAGCTGAGCACCCAGGCCAGTCCGAGTTAACACCAGCACTGTTTTCATTCGACGCCTAGCATTTTGATCGTGACTCATGGCGCGAACACGTTCCGCAGCCGTCGCGGGCATCTACTGAGGTGTTGGGTCTCCGTCGTTGGTTGTTATTGTTAATCGCTGACTAGACCCTGCTCGCGCCTTTCATTGTAACAATGGCGTCTTTAGTAATGTCATGTCTCGTCCTGTATGCCCGTGGACCTGGATGATTCGGGGTGGGTGGGGTGCCCTGGGCTTAGTTTATTGGCAATGTCTCGGGAAGACATCGTGCAACTACGCTGACCCTAGGAATACCCGAATGGACATATGGGCACCGTATTTGACACAAAGAGATATGTTCACCAGCGAGGCCCCCTGCGTCAAGACCAATCTATCCCCGACATCCACGAGAGTGAGAATGCCGAGCAAAACGCGGCCATTATCTACTAAGCAATTCATGCCATGTCACCATGCCGCCTGACGCTCATCCTACCTCCTCAAGTTACTTTCACAATCCTCTTGCGATATTATGACACCGCGTGCAGGGCCAACTCCGGTGGCCTGAAGGATCCCATCACCGGTTCGGCGGGGTCCGGTGGGCAACATTTTATGGGGCTGGAGATATTGCGGCGGTGACGCCCGTGGTCCAACATCGCTCCGGCTGCAACGGCTCACAAGTCGCATGTCAACCACAAGAGTCGATGAGAGCGAGGGTTAGGGCTTGATGGGAGACCAGAAGACTCATGTTATCGACTTCCCCCGCGCATTATTTAATTAAAATGCCCTTGCTGATGCACTGACTACCAAGTACCTAGGTACCTTGCAAAACATGATGAAGCTCATCCCACTCCTGCTCGCCACCTCAAACATCACTTACACAAACGCCTGGATACCAGTGATGGCTCGTCCCAGAATAAGGCCTACAAAATTTGTTGTCAGAAAAGAAAAAAAGGAAGTCAGTCCAGGATAGTAGTGATAACATACTGTGAATATCGCTCTGTCCCTCATATGTCTGCGTAACAAATAGGTTGGCCACATGGCGACCAATATGATACTCGTCGCTCACGGCATTACCACCGAAAATCTCCTGCAGGATTCTAGCATTGCGCAGGGCAATATCGCAATTCTGTCTCTTGACCATGCTGATCATCTCGGGCGTTACCTTGCCCTCGTCCTTGAGACGACCAACCTGAATGGCCGCCAGGGTGCCATAGGCAGCGTCGGTAGCGGCATCCGCCAGCTTCTTCTGGATGAGCTGGTATTTGGCCAAAGGGTTACCTTTGAACTGCTTGCGCTCCAGAGCGTAGGTTCGTGCTCGGGCAATGCAGTCCTCCAAGGCACCCATGACACCCATGGAAATACCATATCTAGCGCTATTGAGGCAGCTGAAAGGTCCCTTCAGACCCTCAACATCAGGAAACATATTGGCCTCGGGCACAGGACATTCGTCCAACTGGATCATACCAGTTATGGAGGCACGCAGGCCGTTCTTGTCCTTGATGGCAGGAGTGGACAGGGTGCCGGGAGGGCAGTCCTTTCTCTCAACGAGGAAACCGCGAATCTTGCCCGTCTCCTGAAGCTTTGCCCAAACTAAAAGGACATCGGCGATAGGGCTGTTTGTGATCCAGGTCTTGGCTCCACTGAGAGAGAAGTATCCCTTCTTGGTAGGGTGAGGCCTGGCGACACTCTCCATGCTACCGGGATCACTGCCGTGGTTGGGCTCCGTGAGACCAAATGCACCGAGTAGCTTGCCCTTGGCCATCTCAGGAAGGAATCTCTGCTTTTGCTCTTCAGTACCGAACTCGTAAATGCCCCCCATAACGAGCGACGACTGCACAGACATGCCAGATCGGTAGCCACTATCAACGCGCTCCACAGCACGCGTGATCATGCCACCAGCAACCGAAGACACGCCAGCGCAGCCATAGCCGTCAATATTGGCGCCGAGAAGACCAAGCTCGCCCATTTCTTGAAGGATCTTGGGATCATAGTGCTCATCGCGGTAGGCCTCTAAAGTATTATATTAGCAACAGCGGCTGTCCGGCATGTTATTGAGTTTGGGTTGGAGTGCAGCGGCACCAGCAGCCAACACTGCTAAGATAGATCTCGGGATAGGCGACAACATACGCAAGACTCTGGGCATCATGCGCTCTTGGCAGTATCTTTCAGCCGTCTCTGCAATCGCAAGCTCCTCCTCAGTCAAGAGATTCTTAGACGCAAGTGGGTCTTGCCAGTCAAACGTAGTCTTTGGCGCCGAGGCAAAACTTCTGACAGCCATTAGCCGCCGTGAAGCAGAGGTTGTGCTTCTTGCAGCTGTTCGTAGACTGTGGCGGAACATTTTAAGGATGAAAAACAACCCACACAGGGGATGATAATGCGTGAATTGTGTTGTTCTATATTAAAAGGACGAATGAAGCGCGTCAAGTAAGAGAAAAGAGTGTGGATCGTGGAGGTGTTGAGGAAGTTATGTTTTGTCTGAGCCACCTATTGGACGTTGAATTCGGCAACTTCAAGTTATGCGATATCGCTGGCATCCGGCCCCGGTTTCTCCCCGCGACTAGCCAGGAACCCACTCATTCCACCGACGGAACCCGCGGAGTGACTCCACCGCAAATGCCACGCTTCGGGGACCCGAGAGCCCTGTCGTCTCGTGAGTCGCCCTCAAAAGGCTTCTGAGCTGGCTGGGCCCCTTCTCCAGATGTCGCCTGGCCAGCAGCCAAATCCCCAGACTCATGGCCTAAACCCCAGCCGCAGATCCACCCTTCCTCCAATCTCCATGGCCCTCCGGGCACCGACTCCCAATTAATCGATCCCGGTCCTCGGCTCATGGAGCTCTTCGGATGCACATAACTCGGGTATTAGATACAGTTGGCTGGTATACACTGTATATCTGCATTTTAGCTGCACTCTCGCACCACCTCTTGGCCTTGTTTTCCATCCAACCACAGTTGGTTTTGTTACCCAATCGAGTAAAGAAGCTTTGGTAAGTCAGCCACGAGGCTGGCCAAAGGAGAAGGCCGTTTTGCCCGGCTTCACTCAGCTCCAGATAGAGATGATGAATGATGTCGCGGAATTACGTGACACATACCGACCTACGCCAGTTTGGCAAGAAACAGTTGCCCTCGGTTTGTATTTGAAGTCATGATATTCTAGGCATGCCCGAACTATGTGTAGACCTGATGCTGATAGCACGAGGAGACAAATCACCTTGCTGATCACAGATGCCCTTTCACCGTCTGCTTTTACTGCCCAGCGCATAATCATTCCGCTGCACCGTGATGTCGTGCCCTTTCACTCAACCTATCCAATTCCTCGGTAGCCAGCATCACGCCAGCCACTGCTAGAGAATTTTTGGCTTCAGTGCCAAGTGGACTGTGATTTGATGAAGTGGCAATATCGGACGAGCTGCAAGCTTCTTGCGAGTCACGCGCTCGTCGTCGTCGTTCTCTGCCTTTCCCAAACGTAGGGGCTTCGCTAAATGGTTGCGAGTATTGGTTCAGGCGATTTTGTCTTTTTCTCCATCCGTATTCTAGGCTTCGTCCAACAGCAAAGCGACGCCGTGGTCTCTCGGACAGAGGTAAGGATCTTGATACCCGACGGCCGGTGGCTCGTTTGCCGGGACCGTGCATCTCATTCTATGTGCACCATAAGCTTATAGCCCGACTTTGCGGATTTGATTAAAGAGATGCTGGGTAGCCGTACGTACCTATTCGCTGCCGGCAAATTTGTGCAACTCAGGGCAAGAGATGGCACTGCGCTCTAGATGGCTTTTTGGAGAATCGTGGGCTTCTATGCGTGGAACTTTGAGAATTTGAAGCGACGTAGCTCGAGCCTGTTCTAGTGCCATGCTAGTCGGCAAGGACATGTCATGTTGATTCGAGCTTTGGTCTCGATCAGCTTGCGTAGGATGGCCGCAGAGGCTCGAAACAGTACATCATTCGGTGGAAACTGAAGGACGGACCTTATCATGGCAGCTGAACTTGTCATGTTCAATGTTAACAATATCGGCCAAAGGACAGAGGGAAGATGGAAGGATCAGAGTGTAGCATGACGCATCCCAAATAGAAATGTTGGTGAAGCGCTCCGGGACGAACATCTG